GTTTTTCCGGTATCAAAAACATTCCTTCGCCTCCAATCTCGGGAACTCGAGGCTCTTCTCTTCTTCTTTTCTCATTATGAACTCTTGGTGTTCTTGCTTTTCTTCTGAATCCGCTATGCCAAACCGGCTTTGATGCTGTTCCTCGAACCACATCATTCGATATTTCATTTGTTTTAAGACAAACTCTCTCGTGTTTTGTCGCCACTTGGTTTGCAGAATGCACTGTTTCATCACAAACATGGCACAAGAAAGCATCATCAGAGGAACAATACCAAACCGCGCGTTTGTTCAGACAAAGCTCGCAGGCTCGAGGCGGCTTGACATCTTCTTGGTGGTCCAGAATCATACTTTCTGCGCAAAACATGAAACAAAGTTAAGAGAAGAAATCAATTTTGAACAAGAGACTCATCAGGTAAGAAACAGAACAGTCATGGTTTGGTTTATACTTTTATGGAATTGTATATTTTGGTGACTTGTCATGAGCTTAGAAACGAAAAAGTTCTTAAAGTGAGGAAAAGGGGACAATGAAGAAGACAAGAGCTGAGAAAGATGAAGTATATTGGGGACTGACAAAGGAGTGTTAGGTACATATATAATAATCTTTTATCTTTTGGGATTAGACAATGACATTTCCTTAAGAATCTTGAAGACTTTTTTCTACTGACAAGTTTCTTCTCATGTCAGTACTTCTAGAAGATTGTTCTTCTATACATCTTTGATATTCTTAAAAGTGATTAATATAGAGAGAGGATTAAAGGTTAAAAAAGGTAGTGAAATTGAGGAGATAAAGATTTGGTGAATTATTGAAGAGTGGCCATACCCATTTTGTTTGTTTATACAAAGGAGAATAGACAATGTACTGATGATTTGGCTTCATATATAGAATTTGATCCAAATCTTTGTGATTTTATTGGTCAGAGTTAGATTATGTTTTTGGGGTCATTTATGGGTTCTTTTTCTTACCCATTCTCTGAATTTTCTCTTTTTTGTTTGGTTGTCTTTTGTTTTCTGACTCATTTTGTCTGTGGTCCTTGCCTGTCTTCATCACCATTTAAACATATGATAACAGATTCCATTAAAGCTTGAATTGGACTAAAAGAAATTAACAAACTTTTTTTCATTAAAGACAGTACTAAAGATGTTTTGTGGAAACCTAATCTAACAATTTTTGAAATGAGGGCAAGTGTGGACTTCTTACAATTACTCTCAGTAGACTATAAATTGCAAGTAAAAAACTTGAAATTAACATGTTACATATGAATCAAAGTAACAACGGTTAGTAAAAGGTATATTTTGAATTTCACTATTTCGAGAAAACAAGGACTCATATGTACAACAGAAATCCAAAAAAAGAGAAATTGTTTGATAAACTGAGGATGTGCTAAACTAATTAGAAGTGTCATTAGTCCGACTAGTAAATATGTTTTACGAAAACAAGCAAGTATAAATCAAGCAACAACCTTCGCAAAGCCATTAATCTTGCGACAGAGACTCCATTTATGTTTGGTAAAGCCAATGCTCTCACTCACCTGTGTCATTGGAGCAAGAAGAAGACTTTTTAAAACTTCGAACCAATCAAAAACATGTCCCATCTCTAGCAATGGAAATCCGTGACTAAATTACTCTCTTGCCGAATAAAGATCGATGCGACTGCGAAACAGATTGGAAATCTACAATCAACCCTATATTATGTCCCTAAAAGTTCCAAAACTGAGTCACACCAAGATTATCAAATTCATTTATTACACAGTCCAAAAACACGTCCCATCTCTTCACATCACCAATGAATATCCATAACTAGTTTTAAAGCATAGTGATTGCAAGCAGATAGATATCAATAATCCACCTGTGCGTCAGACTAAGATCTGATCGATTCATATACTTCAATTCATTCCCAATTCCCAACACCAAATCATATAGAAGGTCCAGTGAAACGATATTCGTACACATACTCGACCGCAAGAAATGCTAAAATTTCTAACTTATCTTCTTCGTCTTCAGTTTATCAACAAATAAGGTAATATTGATCAATACAAACCATAACTTAAACACCAGGTACTTACCTTGGATCAATCATGTGTGCAAGATTATTCAGATTCAACACCCTCCAGCTTCAGACCTGATCATGCAAACATCGAAAAAGAAGAGATACTGAATACTAAGAGCTTATCTATATCAAATTCAAAATCCAATACAAGATACATCAATCAAGACACTTAAATTATAAACTGAGCTCAAATTCCAAACATAACATGAACACAATTTACCAATACATATACTCAGATTCGAGAAAATCCACCCTAAAGAGACACCACTAACACAGAGATACTGATTCCACACTGAATTCATCAATCAAGACCCTTAAATCATAAAACTGAGCTCAAAATCCAAACATAACATGACCCAATTCACCACTACCTAACTCGATTCAATTTTTCAAATTCAGCATTCACCGCCACTAACATGAAAACAAAAAAACTTACCGTGGAGAGACACATGACGGTGATCTTTGCCCTTCCCGTCACCGTGATTAGCGTCGAGAAACTGTTGTGTAAGACGGCGACACTCCTCGTAAATGGTTAGCGTCTTAACTTCTTAGCTTTCTCGATTTTGTATCGACTTCTCACGAATTAAATGTTCTCTCATCCCAACCATAACCACCGTATCCTTGTTCGGATTCTCCGGATCGAAAACCATCCGGCGCCGTCTTTTCCAACTCCGGCGATCCCTTCTTCCTCCCCATCGTCTTCTTTTGTTCTTTCTACGGTTTGGTTTTTTTTTTTCCCGTCTTTCGTTTATATATTGGGCTTTAATTCTCTTCTATGGGCCTATGATTAGCCCATATAAATTTGGTTTCAAAAACATTCGTTAATTTGGTTCTTGTAGCTTAATTCTTCTTTGTTTAATAATTGGTTGAATGCGTTAGAGGATTTGTTGCGGTTTTATCAACCGTTTACGGTGGTGTCTTAATATAATACGATGTTATGCGGCGATGGTCTAAAATCGTTTCGTTTCAAGCCTTGTCGGTTCTCATAGTTGATTTCGCCGGGGTCGGGCCTAATTAATGAGTAATCGTTTTCTCTTTATGATCCGGTGACATCGTTATAAACAAGACATATGCCAGTTCTTCGAACCAATTGTATATGATCGGAGTATAGACATAGCAATGGATAATTTCATATACAAAAATAAAGATAATTGTTTTATATGTATTCATCAATTTTCTTCAGAAATTATATACAAACTAATAAATTTAATAGAATTTTAGATATTCAAAGGGAAAAGAAGAAGTTGATTTCACATTTCCGATATACAGTTTTCAAACTAAATTTATCATCAAATTGGTTTATTTATTTTAAATAATGATTAGGTTGAAGGATATTTTGCTGCGTTCATACTGACAAAGAAGATGACCTTACACATACGAAATTACAAGTTTTACTGTTTTTATTGTCAACTCCAATTGCATAATTTTGAAATTAAAGTAAAGGTCGAATTTCGTCTTCTTACCGTTGGATGGACTTTTCATATCTGTTAAAGAATTAATATTAGTGTAAATAATTTGCAAATTGTAGGGTACGTATTGACCAATTCAAAGTAGTTTGATGATAGTAATTGGGAAACAAAAAATATACGTACCATCTGCATTCAATATAATAAAATTGTATATGTCCTTGTTTGAGTTTTTTTTAAATAATATATAGTATGCAAATATGAATTTGGATAATACAAAAACGATCAAACTACATGCTAACTGCTAAGGTCATTGTTCTTTGGAATTTACTTTAAACAAAAATAACCATTCCATCAAAAAGAAATTGTAACATGTGTGATTCTAGAAACCTGAAAAAGGAGGAAAAATACGAAGAGCAAGTGAATCTCTTGAAAGTTTTTTCTAGTGGTAGGATTGACGTTAATTCTAATTATTATACCAAACTCTGGTCTAGATAATGCTTCAAACCAAAATTTACACTAATTATATTTAAAAACTATGGCAAAATTTACACATATTCTTTTTGGGTTGGTAAGATTTTATTAACCACTCATCACATAGTAATTATCTTAACTCTGTCTTAATTAAATATCACCTAATTAACTAATCTAAGGCTATACTAAATTGGTATTTTCACATTTGCGAATGACCAATGTAAACTGATGTTCCTAGGTTAAATATTTTTGGTGTCAATATACTACAATAAATTAAATAACAATTCTACACCACATCAACTATATATATATTACATACCATGCAAATTCTATGGAATTTCGGGCACACCAACTACTATTTCAAATTTTCAATGCTTCGGTTAGATCAATGCCTAAGAATAAGAGATTCATATTGAATCATTTTAACTTCAATTTATCTTGAATCTTAGGCTCTAATACGATGTTTCTAAATATAAGTTATATTACTATAACAATGATACAAACGGATACTTGTATTCTAAGTGTATAACCAATTTTTGTGTAGATTGGAAAACATATACAATGTAAATATAGTAGTGAGATGTGGAGAAAGACAAGTGTCAATAGATCAAATGGATTTAAGGGACAAATGGTCAAAGAAAATGAAGAAGAATATCCATGCTGTCATTAGGGTTTCTTGGTGGGTAGAAATGGGTAAAGGTGGTTGGACCAGTATCTCATACACTTC